TTTCAGTAAGAAACATGGGAATGGAAGGAAGTAAAGTACTGAAAATAGAGTTCTAGTGGTCTTAGGCTCTCAGGCTAGTAGCTGGTACTAACAGGCATTGCTTATGAATCAACGTGGTGGTGTTGTACAACACTGTCATTGCAGCCTGCTTTCAGCTCCTGATCTGCGACAAGCTTGCTGTTTGTCTCTCTACACTGAACTGTCTCCTGCATGTAAAAACTTCTACAAAACAGAAAGGATGTTTTTTTGTGAAGCATTTCATAACTTGAATGTGGGAGGAGGTGACAGGCTGTAGCTTATAAGCAAAATGTAAATTCTTTGCCAGGATGTTATAATATTACTGGAATAATTTTGGTGTTAACAGAGTTTGGGCCCATTTAAATTTTTGAATGTGGAAGAGAGTTTTTCTAGTTACGGAAGAAATGTTGTTAGGTCTCCCTAGGGTGCAGCAGCTTTACCAATATATATACACCAAAATAGAAGAATGGAGCCCCTGTGGGATTAAAGTTTAACTTCTAACTATTTATGAGTTAGTTTTCTTCCTCTTTGATCTTCGAGCCAGATTAAGATTTGATTTACAGTGTCCAGGAAGGCTCAGCCTTGGAAGATTATTCCTTTCTTACACTCATAGTTTCTTGCAACAAGGAGAAGGAAATTTGAAAGAATTCTATTCTATTCACATAGAAATTGAAGGTTTGTAACGCAATTCAAGTGCAGATGTTTTGGTCCTGCATGCTTCCTAGTCCTGTGAAGTTGCTGTTCCGTCTTGGTTTCTTTATATCATCATGATACTGCCTTATTGGACATGGCTAGTTGAGTTCCTTCCAGTCCAGGTGAAAAGGCCACCACATTTCAGTTAAATTGCCCATCACATCTTGTTTTAATGGTGAAATAAGGAGTGGCAATGAAGCATTTCCTTCAGCAGAAGTGAAAGGAATCTCTTTGTCCAGTTGCCACTTTTTGCTCTGCTTGTATGTTTCTGCTCTATTGATAGGTTTTTATTTTCCCTAGCTATTTTCTACTAAATTCTTACCACTTCCCTTAATATATCATGTCTTTCACTGAATCTGCTTTGGGTTTAATCAACTCAGCTTTTCTCTTTCTTACTTTGTGTCATTATAAAAAGGAAAATCAGTAAATAGGTTGTTTGTAGGTAAGGTATTTGACTAAGATAGCTTATAATTTAGTTGACTTATTTAAGATATTGCTGATTTAAGACACTGCACATTTTTGCTGCATTTCTTGAAACATCAAAAAGTGAAGTATTCAATAATTGCAATTTTATTTTCTTTGTATTATTTATGTTTTCAAAGTTTGTAATTTCAACTCATAGGAAATAATAATCCAGGCATATGAGAATACATTTGAACTTGACTGGATTAATGTGTTAATATTTTGCTGCTAATCAGCAGCCAATATAACTGTAAGTATGCTTTTCCCACTCCAGTTATGAAGAATAAAATGCCACCTGAAGCACCACTCACTGGTTGGCCTAGGTGCTGTCAGCTGTATGTACATGAGTTGTACTTGGAAGTGACCCCTCTAACTTCACTGTACCTGTGTTTTTGTTTGCCCTTAACTCTGTTAAAGTTTAACTCTCCGTGTTCCACTTTTCCAAGGGAGGGGCAAAACTGTTGTAAGAGTTCTGCCAATGGGCTTAGAACTGAAAACAGACTCCTGATATTGTGATACACCTTTTTAAAGGCATTGAGAAAGGTAATTTTCACATGCCTACAAGAGCTAGGGAAGTTTTCATGGTAGGTAAAGGAGATACCTTTGCTTTACTTGATTGTGAGGAATTGCGGTTAAACTCTGATGATGCCATATGTGCTTTAGGAATACTGACACTTGACATAGCTAACAGGGACACAGAGACCAGTGAAATAATTTTGTATAAGCATTTATGTGCTATAATATCCAGCTCAGTCATACACAGTGAACAAACTACGTGCTTCTAGGGCTGGTTTTGAAATACTTGTATTGAAAACCTCTACATTTCTTCCTGTCCTATATCGCTACCCCCTCTCCCTTTTTACATGCATCTTTTTTATGTGCAGGCCCTGCCTGCTTCTTTATGTGATTCACTGAGAATCAACTCAAGTGAGAATTCAGCTGTGGCATTTGAGATGTTAGCTCCCCACTTCCAGAGGTGACCAAGTAAGATGTGTGTCAGTTTGGAGAAAGAGGAGTGTGTATTTTTGCTAGAAGCTGTTGGCTTCAGACATACCTTTAACTCGAACCATGACAGACAGCGAGTGCTGTCTGTCAGGATAGAAATGATAGAAGTGGTTGTGAGCTGTCTGGGGAGCTGTCAGGAATTTTACTGCATTGGTGCCAGCTAATTTTGTGTGTTCTTTTTTCCATATGCTGTAAGAAGTCTTATGGGTTTGATACCATAGAAAATCTGTGGAGGATCACTGAAGGAGTTGCACAAATCCCGTTTGACAGAATTAGCAACAGGATGCAAACCATTGCTATGTCAGTCATGTCTCAAGTACTTGAATAAACTTCTTTTGGAAGTGATGCTTGGATCAGTGTTAAGCTGTGTTCTTTGATTTCATCCCTGATTCATCCTTTGCTGTAGAGATAGGTGAATAAGTAATCTTGGTTTCAAAGACTTCCACTTGAAAATACTTCAAGTATTTTGAAAATACTTCTATGAACTACTGCTTACATCACTCCTCTGCATTTTGCATGTGATTATTCCTTGGTTGAAGGACTGTGCCGTTAAGCAGTCTTGCGTTTCTGATATTCTTACTCAGCTGTTCTGTTTCCCTCTAGATTGTGAACGTTTTTATCAATTTCATACATTTTAGTTCTGGTTTACCTTAGAGTTGTATTACAAGAATGTTTAAGCATAACATTCTCTCTCAAAAATAAGGAAAATGTCAAAGTTACATTGCCTGTGCATCCTTAATGTATTCCCCTATAAGTGTGCAGCCTGCTTTCTTCCAGTCCCTTTCAATAGAAAGTGGACAAGCAGGAAAATGAAATCTTATTATGGGTTAACAGAAACATTGAAGAGAGTGTCTTGTGATGTGAAAAGGACAGTAAAGCAAGCACAGGTCCCAAGAGTATCTCAGTGTGTGGAAAGCATCTGTCTGAGGGTTGTTTTAGGCATGGATAGCTGCACTAGCTTGACTGCTAGCTTGACATATTTTGACTTGAAGGAGCTGGTTGAGACGCTGAAGGCAACTTCAGTGTGTGATTTAAAAAGTATTCCTCATTCATGGTAAGGAAAAAGCTGAAAGCACTTGTGGTATTGACTTTAGTTAGGCACGTCTTAATATAGCTGGAGTATTGAAGGACTACAGGTTTTTAGACAAAAATACTAATGTCTGGTATCAAGTTGTCTCAATATGGAAAAAATAAGAATTATAGTAAAAGTCAATGTGGCACCATGAGGGCCTGTTCATTGACAGGAAGATTGAAGAGGCTTTGTATAGAAGAGAAAAGTGAAACGAAGTAATTCCTTTTAAAAGGATAGGTATATAGGAGTGAAACTTCACGATTCCTTGTTTTGAATCAGTGTGTTTGAAAAGCATTAAAAAATGTTCTTATAAATCATTAGAAAGATGAAGAGAGGGATGAGCTTGTAAAGAGGAAAGGAAAGCAAAGAATAGATGACAAATATTTGAGTTGATAACAAAGCATGCCAAACAAAAAGGGCAGATTCAATATCTTTTAGACACTGGATATTATGTCAGTAATTAAAATTTAGCTATGTGGATTGGTTTGCTTTTAAAAAGTGTTTAAGCAACTGAATCTTTGATTTTCTGACAATGCTTTTGAATGAGTTTCCAGATGATAAATATTATTTTTGTTTTTCTACTGTTATGTGAAAATTTGACTTCTGGAAATCACTGGACCAAATAGTCTCTGATACCTATAGCAAACAATCAACAATTAGCCAAGACAATTAGCCAAATGTATTTAAGAAAAAAAATCACATTGAATTAACATGATTTTTTTCCTTGTATTGGGCTGTAGCTATTGTGAAAGAGGAGCAGTAGCTGTTTTGACTGTGCAAAATTTTTCTGTGTATGTTGATGTGACATTTGAATAAGCACGCAAAACAATGTGGGATCAATCATGTGGACTCTATTGTTTATGAAACCATCAAGACCACTTCACAAGTTACCAAAGTTGTAATTGGTTGTTCAGAGTGGGTGTCTGATTCACAGGGGCTGCTTGGTTCTGTGAACAGAGTGAACCTGCCAAATGGTGTTTTGAGGGCAGTCTGCATTGGCTTGAAGGTGTTTACTTGAGTAGAGATTGGGAAAGGTGAGGTGTGAATTGAAGTAAATAAAAGAATACTTTTATTTATGTCCATGAAGCCTAAGAGAAATAATTTGACTGTAATTCATTCAACCCACCTAGATCTCTTACTGTAAAGAAAATTTTTCAGTTGTAAAGGCTTTCAACACAACTTCCTTTTATGTTAGGAAGATGGAGAGGTATCTTTAAATTCTAACTTCGTAAGATTCTACGAATTAGAGTTAAAATTTGAGAGTTAAAACTGTCTCAAAAGTGTTAATCTGTTATATTTTGTCCTCCTATGTATATTGCTGCTAATTTTCTAGAATGTTTGTGAAAACAAAACTAATAATTCTGCACTCATGGCTGTCAAATATAAGAAAGGCTTTCCCACTGCTGAAATTTGTCTTTTCAAATGCTTAATTTGAGAATCTTGCAGTTGCAATGTGTCTTTTGTAGCTATTGTGTAAGGGCTTGATGTACCAGAGTCACGTTTTTTTAGAGTACATTTGAATCTTGAAGCTAAGAGTGGGTGTTTAGACTGTTGCTGTAAGAAAATTATTGTCCTTTGTAACCTTTTTGGACAGCAAGTACTATTCAACACTGAAAAGCAATTAATTTCAAGTTTTTAAATTCAAACTTTAGATGTTTTTGAAATTATTGTGGTAACGAGGAACTCGGTTTCCTAATTAAACTGTAGGAGTCTGGTCTTTAAGGGCTTTTTTTTATAACTAGTTCAGTCTCCTGATAATCCAGTTTCTGTATTAATGAGACACAACAAAAGACAAATTATTTTAAGAAAGAGAGAAAAAAATAGTCCTTCATAATAGCTGTGGAAAGTGTGTTCAAGTTTTCTGAATATCCCTCGCTGCACGTCAGGCTGTCTGTGCAAGCACTGAGCCAGCAGCTCGAGGAAAGTGATTCTTCTCCTCTCTCTGGTACTTGAGACCACGTCTGGAGTGCTGTGTTCAGGAGCTGCAGTGTAGGACAGACACTGGGCTTCTGGGGTGAGTCCAGCAGATGACAGGCAGGATGCTGGGCAGAACTGTGTGACCTCCAAGGAGACTGGGTTTCTTCAGCTGTAAGAAGAGAAGGCAAATGAGAGATCTTGCTGATGCCTGCAACAACATAACAGGAAGATACCAAGGGAAAACAGAGCCACTATGGGAAGACAAAGGGCAATAGATACAAATTGGAACATGAGGGTATTTTGGTAAGATACAAAAGAAACATTTTATACCTCGGGTAGTGAAACATTGGAATGCATTGACCAGAGAAGTTGATGTAAAGATTATTTTCTAAATATTACTTTTCTCTCTCAAAACTTTTTTTTTTCACTGAATGAATTCTGGTTAGTAGGCCCTTTGTGCCCTCTGCAGTTTTGTTCCAGTTTCTGTGGAGTACTCTCATGTTCTGGAACGATCTATAGGCAGCTCTTTATTATTCTGTACAGAAATAATAGAGTTGATGTTTGATTAAAAAAAGCCCAGATTTTGAAGATACCCAGATATGTTCATCAGATTAGGAATTACTAATTTCTGTGGTGTGGTTAATGGAACAGTAGAGTGTTTTGAAATATAGAGTATATTTTATTATTCCAGCTGGGGAAAAAACTCCCCAACAAATAATGGGCTTAAATCACATCTTAAATGTGTGTATTTTGGTCCACTAGAAGTAATTATCTTCATATATAAATTGCCTTGCTTCTGTCTCTAGTGGCAAGATTAATACTTGGGAAATCTTTAAAAGCATTTTTTCCACTTGAACTGTTTAACACTTTCAGACTTCCTGTCATTGAGGGCTGGAGAAATCCAGTAATTCATTACAAGATACTTCTTTTGATCTTTAAAAGCAAATTATCCAGATAGTCAGTACAGCTGGAGATAAGAAAAATGAAGTTCTCTGCCATTTATAATAGCAGTTGTTGCTCTTCTGAATAATTCTAGGGTGAGAGCCTCTTTATTTGGGAGGGAACAGCGTTGAGATAAATAAAATCCATCAAGGTGTAATATAATGGTATACAGGTTCTTTAGACAGACATAGGGTTAGAGAGGTTCCTGTAGGGCAGAAGGAAATAATGCCTTTTGCTGAAACTTGGTTTTGTTTGGGATATTGCTCTGAATCAAGAACAAATCCACAAGAGGTGTGTGTTTCTTCACCTCTAAATCCCTTCCTTCCCTATCCAATGAGGAGCTGTGTCTAGGGAATTTACCATTAATCAGAATTGCACTGGAGTTTCCTATGCTTAATAGATAATCATAGTCAGGGTTTTTCATGGATTTTCTTATTTCAATGTGATAAATTTATTTGCTGTAAATTGTTTTTGTTGTAACACTGGGAGTGTCTGTCTTGCTTTTCTAGGTTATTGAGTTTCTGTAACTTAATAGCTAAGACATTAATTTTCTACTGATCATGCTCTTTTCAGCTTTTTATGGGAATGGCATAGATTATTTTTTTTTATTGTATTGATATTTCCACTGAGAGCTGCAAATAGAGGTCAGATGGAACTGATTATAGAGTAGTTTGGATTTGAAGGGACTGTAAAGATCATTTAATTCCAACCCCCCGGCTGTGACTGTCCAACCAATTCCTTATCCACTGAACAGTCCACTCATCAAATCCATCTCTCCAGCCTAGCGAGGAGGATGTTGTAGGGGACCATGCCAAAGACTTACCAGAACTCCAGATAAATGGCATCTGTAACCCTTTCCTTGTCCACTGATGAGTCACTCCATTGTGGGAGGTCACTAGTTTGGTCAGGCAGGGCTTGGCCTCACTGAAGCCATGGTGGCTGTTCTGACTCCTTCTCTGTCCTGCATGTGTCTTAGTACAGCTTCTTGGAGGATGTGTCCCATGAACTTCCCAGGCACAGAGGTGAGGCTGACAGCTCTCAGTGTCCTCCTTTTTACCCTTTTTCCTGTCAGCTGGGACTTCACCTGACTGCCATGACTTCTCAAATATGGAAAGTGGCTTGGCAACTAAATCCATCAGTTCCTCTCAGGACTCTGGAAGGCAGCTCATTGGGTCCCAGAGATTTGTTTATATTCAGGTTCCTCAAGTGTCATGACCCTGACCTTTACTTAAAGTGGGAGGAACTTTGTTCCCTCCTGCTGTCCATCCCCTTGAGTGGTGTGGGAAAAGAGGTTCCCATTGAAGACTGAAGCAAAAAAACCCCAGTCCTGTTGTTGAGTACCCTAGCCTTCTGCTCATCAGTTTTTTCCAGTTTTCCAGGATTTTTTCGTGGGCTTTCCTTTTCTGGCTTACATTGGTACTTATTTGAATTGGCTAACTGGGAAATAATAATTTCGTTAAAAATATGATTTGTTTGATATGACACATTTCTCTACGTGATGAAGTGTACACAGGTTGATTGCCTTTGAGGTTTGTTTGGTGGTGGTCTGGGGAAGTACCAGAACGAGAATTGATTTCAAAACATCTCTGCCATTCAAATTAAGATTTATAAAATGGTTTTGCAACTTTTCTCCTTTGCATTTTAATTCATTATAGTGGTGTTGGAAACACTGTTAATGTTTTCTTAATCTGAGCTGAAAGAAAAACCTAAACACTAGGATTCTAACCTGTTTTTCAATGTGTGAGCCATGAAACAATACAGCTTATGAAAATGTTAGCATTTGTTAGCATGGGGTTTTCAGTTTCAGTTATATCTCAGTGCCAGGTAGGAACTTTCAATATGGAAGCCCAAGGAAGTTTTCAGGGTTGATTGATATAGACAGAAAGTTATTTCAATATTTTCAGAATGTAAATTGTGAATGTATAAGGGCCTTTTCTTTATGAGTTGTGTGGTTGAATTTATTGTAGTCTGATTTTGAATATATCTGATGGGATACTGAATGATTTCTGTGTTGGCAAATCAACCCTTTATTTTCCCCTGGGAATCCTTTTAAGTTCTACTAAGCACTGGAAAACAGCTACAAGTGTGTGATAAACCTGTGTTTTAAAAAAAAAATTGGATATTGAATGGAAATGAGGTACTAAATCCCCAAACCATATATTTTTATTCCTTTGGAGTATAAAATAATTTTGACTTGTAGCGAGGTTGAAGTGAACTTGTAGATGCTAACCTTAAAATTGTTGGCAGGAAAAAAGGACAGTAGACATGAGAAAGCCTTGAACTTTTTGTCATCTAGATGGCTTGGAAATGACAAAACATATTGTGTAACTTTATATGGAGAAAATTGACTCTGAGAGTACTGCCAATGACAGCACAGAGGCTGCATTCCCCTTGCTCAGTAGATTGTAAGAAAACTGTTCTGGTTTTCTTGCAGGACCTTCTTGCAGTGACCGATTTATCTCTGTCAAAATAGGCAAGAATTACCTGAGCTACTGCCATAACACTTTAATAAGTGCTATGACTCTGTAGGTTCTAAGATGCAGTTAGTGTAAAGTTTTTAGCTTCTGTTGTGCAATCCAAATAGTCTTGGTTTAGTTTTCTGTTCTGTCCTCTGGGATGACTTGGAAAAATCAAAGGCTTGCATGGATGCCAAATGGAAACATCTTGGGTTACTTAGAGGAGGAAGTTGTGCTGTTAAAGTTTTGTAGATTTAATTTTAAATCTAATGATGTTGTGTAAATATGAAATGTTTGCTGCTAGGCGTAGAGCTCTTACAGATGTTTTTGTTACACAGTAAATTCGTTTATACCTCCATGTAGTTTGTAGCAGATAAGCTCTTCCCTTTGTAGTGTTGCAAATGTAAGTGCCACTGTCTTTTACCCAAAAAGTAAGTTTAAAGCTTGCAACTTATTTTGCCTATGTCTTTTCAGTTGAATTTCTAGGAAAGAAGTCACCCTTCTTTCTCACTTTTAAATTTCACTTTGTTTTTAAATAGTCAAGTAAAACTCCTTTTACCTTTCCAACATTGATGAAATGTACTTAAGTGTGCATGTTTATTGTTGAACTTTATTTAGTATTTCAAATATTCCATACAATTTCTTTATAGAAACGATTACAAAAAGAACTATTGGCATTTCAAAATGATCCACCTCCAGGAATGACTCTAGATGAAAAGAGTGTACAAAATTCAATTACACAGTAAGTATATATACTGTTTTATTTCTGCTATTGTGCTGAAAAGACTAAATAATGAGCAGTTCTCTTCACACTTCCACCTTACTCCAAGTAACGTTGTGAATTTTGCTTTTAGTCTAGGCAATGAAACATTGTTCTCCTTAGTAAGCATATTGCAGTAATGTGTTGGACACTTTCAGGAACAGGATAATGAATTTACTAAAATTTTATTAGGCATTTTACTGTCTAACAAACTGTCAAGTAAAAGCTTCTGCATATTTTAGAATAAAATAATTTAATTATCTTTCATAGCTACTAACCTCCTAAACTTTTCTAGATTTATTGAAATAATGGAGTGGCTGTTTTAGAGTTCCGTGACATTTGAATAGAAAATATGTCATAGCTGTTAATTTTCATTACCTTCTTTCTCTAAGGCAAGTGGAAAAAACTTCTTAAAAAGCAAAGTTGTCTGGGTACACTTGTTTGCACTTTCCCCCCTGTCTTGGCTTTCTTGGTGATTTGTGAAATGGGAAGAGAAACATGGTAAAATATTCTGTGTGACAGGGGCTGTTTTTGATATTAATCTATTTTTTAATTGACAGAAATTCAAAAGATTCAGGCTGTGTTGACATTTTTTTCTCATAAGCTTAGTTTCATTTTAGAGAAATGTTAAAAATTGAGCACATGTAAACATTGATGAGAGTATGATTTCAGACTCTAAGTTCTGGACTATGTTATCAATTGATGGAGAAGCTTAAACATAGAGCTGAATGTTGATGTTTTCACGTCTGCATTTTGGGTGGTGGCATTCAGACCATGTTACATGAGGCTTTTCTGAGGCTCATATATACTGCTATATACATATAGCATGACTTAAACACTCACTGCTTTTTAAATTACATTGGCCTTTGTGATAATTCAGATGAATATGACTAAAACTGAAATTACAGTTTTTAGTTTTCTGTAAAAATGAGTCAGTCTAATTTTGTAAGTGGTATCCACTTATTTCAACAAAAAAGTATTAAATCAAAGTTTAGAACTGATTGAAAAGGATATCTCTGTTTCCAGAGTAGTACCTCATTATAATTTCTGCCCTGTACAACTTTTATACCTTTCAATACCTTGCAACTAAAATCTTCCTATTTACTGTTATGCTAGATTTTGAAACTGTCACTGTTTTAGAAGCTTCTTGTCAAAAGTAAAATGATATTTTTTTCTCTTTGAGGGTTTTTGGTATTAGGTAGCATGTTTTGAGTTCATTAATCAAATTACAGTTCGAATTGCTTGTGTTAAAATTTTGTGTAGCAATAATCACTTGGGTTTTAAAGATGCTGAATAAAATAATCGGATCCCATGATGTAACTGGGTCATTTAAAACATTGAGCAATCTTTTATTTTAAATATACAAGGATTAGAAATTTGAGAAGGCTAAACTGTAAAGCACACAGGAAATATGGGTTCTACTGATTCCTTGACCATAAAAGGAGCAACGTCCAGGCAAAGTTATCTTCTACTTAGTAAAGTAAACTATTTAAAGACTTGAAAGTGGAAGTTCTGCATCACAAGAACCAATAAATCTAAAGAGTGTTGCTGCACTGTGTGTATAAATGTAAAAGCAGAAGGTATAAGGAGAGATAAGTGATCTGGAGTGCACATAGATTAAATCAAAGACCTCTTCACAAAGTTAAAATATGAAAGGTACTTCATCAGCCTTCACTGTGTAACCACTGTGCTACTGTTGAACATGCATTCCTCTTGAACAGTGTGAGGGCTAGCAGTTTTTCTCAAAAAATGCCAAAACCCAAAGCACAATAACAATAATAAAACAAGCAAAAAAACCTCCAAAGAGTGACAGAGGGGAAAATAAAAAATGTGCATGGCTTAAATACAGAGGTAGAGTATATCTACAGGAGGATCATCAAAGCTGCCAGCTGGAGATGTTGACTTTTCTGAGTACACTGCTGTTCTGCAAAATCTCAGCTGCCTTCCTTGAGTTCATGTAAACCATATCTGAGTATTTTTGTAGTCTCTGTACCTTACTGCGTTGCTTAGATCTGTAAAACTCAATCAAAGGTAAAAAATCAAAAATGGGCAAGTAATGTTGCAAAGGATTGTATTAAGTGGTCAACAGAACTGTAAAATCATGGAAATTGGGTAGCAGAATGTTGCTGTGTGTGTCAAACAATATGCAAAGCATCTGATTTTAGCTGTACTAGAAAAACCACAATGGAAGCCCAAAAATAAGAAAATCCCCACATGCAACATCACCACCCTCTTCCCCAGCAACTCCACCAGTCAGTTACTTTAATGGTATTACAGTGGAAGGAGCAGAAGCAGAGGAAAAAGAATACTGGTATGTTGAGTTATCATCTTCATTACAGATCCAAATTACCCTGTTTTTGGATTTTGTTTTAGTTTGCTGGGACCTTTTAATTTTTATACTATTAACGTTTCCATTTTTGGTTCCATTGCCTGCAAGATATCATTTAATTTCTGAGCTTTTCACAAAAGTAAGTACAAGATGAGTTTTACCCTTTCCCCTTGGTTACAGATTTTATTTTAATAAACTGTATTTAATTTTTCTTGACAGAAAAGTAAAATAACCCAAAAGAGAATGTGTACTAGTTTGTTTCCTTCCAAACCTTTTAAGTTTCCAAGCAGGGTTTTTTTTTTTTCAGCTTTGTTGTCTCATATTAGCAGCCATTTCTTGGGAACTGATAGGTCTGTGTATAGTTCAAGTAATAATTGCATTTATAATTTGCTTCACTGTGTCAGTGCCTGTATGCAAAACACCAAATGTATTGTAATCTTTATGATGTATTGGTCACCTTTGTGATTGTTGCAGTGTTAGCAGAGAAGTTAGACGGTCTGGCTGTGATTGATATTTGATTTGATTAGTCCAGTGCTCCAGGAGTACAAGTATTAATTTGTCAGTCCACAATGCTAACAGCTTTTTCCCCTATTCCTTAGGTGGATTGTAGACATGGAAGGTGCTCCAGGAACACTCTATGAAGGGGAAAAATTTCAGCTTTTATTTAAGTTTAGTAGTCGGTATCCTTTTGATTCGCCTCAGGTAACTGCTGCCTTCTTTCTCTCTTCCTGCTACCTTCATCTTACAGCTGTATGACATGTGCTGTGTATGGTATTATCCACATAGCCTAATGTCAGCTCTGCTTAATTTAATTTGTATTAAACACAAAGTGCAGCTGCCTTTTCTTTACAAATGGTTCTGCAGTGAAGTATGGGACTGATGTCTGCTTGAACAGATGAAAGTAGTGTAACCTGGAGGCTTCTTTGATGTTGATATTCAAGTCATGAAATACAGGGTAAAGTAGGAAGATCCTCTTTATTTACTGTGATGGAGGAGCCAAGTAAACAACTGCTGCTTCATCCTTCTTACTTTCGACATATTTTTTCTGGTTGATTTTTAAGACTCATGCATCTTCTCTGCTGCCATTGTTAATAAAGCTGAAGAAATACTGTGCTTCTGATAGGGATTCTTGTAGATTCATGACGTGCTTGAGAGACCTGCAAATAGTGTTATAACTGAGGTATGTGATACTGTGTTGCTTTCAAGACAACCTAGAGAACTGAAGGAACAGCAGAACTTAGAGACTGCAGAATGTGCTGTGTACATCCATTCCTCCATTACCTGAGGGAAATACATCAAATTATGGCTGATAAGAGTAGTGGTCAGCTATCACCCCTGCTTTTCTGAAAAAGGAAGTAGAAAAGCAAGGGTGTCTTAGTTCTTGTCCTGTTTGTTTCAGCTCAGAGTTCTAGAAATTATCTCTGCAACTTCTCTCATTGGTGTTAAAACTGAAGCATGAAGCTGTGAGAGACACTGAAGCCATAAAACTTAATATATTTTTAGGTACCGTGATAAACACTAGAATGCTGACTTTCAGTCTTTTAAAGAACAAACTGGCTGCTTGTACTTCTGCACCTCATCAGATTTGCAAGGTACTAATTATAGGTGATCCACAAGAGAGTAGCCAGTTTAATTTGTTTCCAGGTTGTTTGTGTTCATTAGCCAACCTGTGTGTGTGGCTCTGTGCAATTTATTGTTAAGCAGCAAATTAGATCCATACATCTACACTGAATTTTATCACAGAAAACCATTAAAAATTTAAATACTGGATACTGGATTGTTTTAGATGACTAGAATTTCAATTTTTCAAAGATTGCTGTGCAGCACTATAATTTCTTGGTCATAATTACCTCTCCTGCAAATCTAGTTACTGTGAGTTGACAGTTTTCAATTGTGCTACTTTAATCACTTGGATATTTTCTGCCTTTAAATGTATGTTATCTGTCACAGGGTGCACTCTTTTACTTACCTAGTCTGCCTAGTTCAGGTTGTCATGTAAAACCAGGATATTAGTTACAAGTGAAATACATTACAGGATTATGAAGGTAAACCCTTCAATGCTTAAGAAATACCAGTTTAAAGACCTGTGAAAGATCATTCTGCATCCAGTTTCTCTTATGCCTTAAAAACCTGTCTGCCATTTTGCAGATAAATTAAGCTCTCTATTTTCAGTTTCCTATATGATGGTGTTGCTTGTCATCAGTGAGGAGGTGGGTGTATGTGTACATGTTTACTTATTTTTATGCATACCTATATAGCTTAAGAAATACTTAAGAAATTGCTGGGTATTATAGTTATGAGTGGTAGAGATCTATGTTTTTTATTGCATAAAAGGAGTTGGAGAAGGAGTTCAGGAGTATAATGCTGATATGAAGATTTCACTTTTACTCTCTGCTGGTCCTGAACCAATGATACGTTTGACAAAAACTTGATGTAAGAGCAGTAGTTGTCAAAATTACTTTTCTAGCCTTTTTTTGACTGTGATAGTATCTTATAATAGAGAGGAGTTAAGGTTCTAAATGCTTTTCTTCCATATTCTCAATGTCAAATAAAT